TCAACGATAAATAGCTGATAGATTTATTTACTGCCTTCTTCATTGTTGTATAGGATATTTGCGTGATAAAGAATAAATCAAATAGCAAAAGGAGGAAGGTACTCGGTATTTCTTTTTTAAACATGTGCATTGAAAAAATGAATAAATTTAGTTTTTTTTAGCCGGCAAAGTGCTAAACTATATATTCTTCCAAATAATGTTTGGAAAATGAAGTGATAAAAAAACTTTGTTAAATTGTAATATAAACTTCCCTTTTCAACTCTCCCTACCTAAACATGAAGTGTCCATCAAAGTCTTTGCAAATTCTATACGATTGCCATACAAATGAGATGCTTATAGCTACGTACAAAACCAGGTTTAATCCTCAATGTTCTATCTAAGGAAATTCCGGTACGAAGTCAGGAATACGGCAGTTGTTTTCCATTTGTTTGATGTGTTTGAGCTTTTGATTTTCACCATTTCATTATGTACTTTCCATTTTTGAATTTCTTTGGAGTTCAATATTTTTGTAACTAGTATATTGTTGTTGTTTTTTGAAACGAAAGACTCAGACAGAACAGTTTGCATGACCTATTTCTTACTTCAATGGAATAAGTTATAATTGGGAAACATAAGTAGTAGAAATGGACTGTTAAACCTGTACTTGAGTTGCTGCATCTCAGGTTGAGACCGAATCGTAATTTTAACATTAAATCTGGCAAAGAATCGCGTGTTTGACGTCAGAATGTAAACGTCACACAGGTAGAGATATAAAATAATTCAACCTTTATCAGTGATTAATCGAAAGAGACCCTCAAGTGATTAACAGTGAATGATTTCAATTGACTACATGTAGAACCCGCTATTTTCAAGAATAGGCTGCGTTCAATACTTTCTTCAAAGTCTCAGTAATTATATCCACCAAATGGTGAGTTATCAATGTTCTTAACTAGACTTGACATTCTGACCATATAAATTTTAGTGCAAAGCTTGTTTATGACTGGTACGAAAAAAGTGAATGATAAAAGAACGAGCTAAGACAGTGCGTAACCCCATGTTACTATCATGTGACACAATAAGTTCCGTTTAACTTTAATAAAAAGAAAAGAACTGGGGTTTTCAATGCAAATACCATAATACATATTATTTATAGGTATTTTCAGCATGTGTGAACCATTTTGATGAGAGTTTCGTGATAGTGGGTTGTCCACATGAGTGCGTTTTTAAAATCGTGACTGCATTTCTAGATAAAACGCTCTTAACGGCTGGAAAAGGAGAAAACAATGCAATAAAGAAAGAAAAAAAATGGCAATTAAATCAACATTAGAAGATAATTTAAAAAGAAGAAATGGAATATGAAATACCCATTTTAGAATAAAGAGCAACAGAGTAATCGCCTTTATACTATTATTATTTTAGCGGTAAGGTGATAAACGCATCTCAAACGAATAAATACACTGATTGATTCTATGCTATATTATTTCAAATTACTAGATAACAATCTACGATTTATTAACAATAGATGACAGAGTGTAAGGTTTGCGTCTTCTTTATTCTATACAAAACTTGGGTGCATTTTGAACAAAAGACGACAAGGAAACATTTAAATAGTTGGTTTTTAAATAACTTTGGAAGTTTATTTTTATGCATCATTCTATTAACAAACACGTACGTACTACGACAATTGGAAAATACAGTCTGACTATGGATATTTATATCAAATTTGTATTGCAGACTTCTTATTTACTTTGAAATCCAGATCAGACGTTGTAAGTTTTTTAGATTTAAAAAAAGAGTGCGAATACAAATAGTGCAACATGTAAATTAACTGTTAATTGTTACTGTAAAATTTGTACGTTTGATGTTATACCCCAAGGGTAATCAACAGCCCAGTAGCCAGTACCAATTGAAAATACGGATATTGTTCTATTGCTAGTATAAATTTGCAGTTTTTATTCTTTTTGGTTTAATCAACTGCTCAACTGTTCAATATTTATATTTAAATTCATCTATGTTGACCACGAGCATAATTGAAATTACATTAAGTCTTGAAATGTGAATCTGGTGCAATGGATATGATAACGTTCGTGTTGTTACTAGGTATGTGTTTCAGATAATGTCCATTTGTTTTGCTTTTTTGTGCAAATATTTCGGCTAAGGTTTGAAAAATGGCGGTCTTTGTCGAAACTGGGCTTTTGACTCATGAATTCGGAGATTGTTAGCCACTCGAAATGAAGACAGTAAATGGAACGTTCTTTCACCTCAGAACCAACTATCATCCTTCATCTACTTATTTTGATAGTTTAATCGTATGCTGTGCTGTAATATACAACTATCACAGGTTAGGGATGATTGATGCAAGCAAACATTTTAAACCCCGAAAAAGTCTTCTAAACCCTGTCCATAGACAGGGGCTTTTAGTTAAGGTTCGTTTGATCCGTCTTTAGTTTTTTCTATGATTTTTTGTGAAGGCTTTTACTTGTCTTTTGTTAGTTTTTCTTTATTTTGTAATGGCATTGTTAGTTCGTTTTGACTAATGGGTTACGGAGTTTGGCTATGTCAATAAATTACGTGACCATGCAGATGCTATATCTAATACAAAAGGAGTAGTTACTTAGCTTGAGAAAATATCAATTATTTAAGATGATAAAAAAAAAATATAGTAAAACAACAGTTGGCCTAGGTAAACATCATATCTCTTGGTTTTAAGCATTCCTTATATTACACCATTAATTGATTGATTGATTGTTGGTTGCTTAAGGTCCAGTGGCAAATATTTCATGAATGTTCAGGATGTGAACAAGTTAACAATACTCATAATATGTAGGTCTTGTAAAGAGACCATCCGGGATGTAGGTCGGGTAAATTTGAACTGCCACTAGAAAATGAGGATGTATTTGATAAAGACAGAAATTTTGATTTCAACAGGCCACCTACGACCCCTCAAAGAGTTGTCGCGCGTATTAAAAGTCAATAACTGTATATTATACAATAAAAGACTAAGTATGGATGATATCTATCAGAGTTGTTTAAAAATGTTAAATAGTCTAAATATGAAGTAACATACTTTCAAAGTTTTATATTTAAAAATATGTTTCCTTCAACAATTTCCGTATAAAAAATAAATTGTTGATATAGCTTTGTATTCAGTATTTTTTTTTCTTCAGGTTATATTATTGATGTTTTCTCAAAAAGATGAAGTAATCTTGATTTTTTCATCGTGAAAGTCAAATATACAACATTTACATTTTATCTATCAGCTATTGCTTTGACAATCGTCTACAAAATTAATCATAATTTTGTAAGAAGAGTATACTCCTCTGGATGATAATTTATATAATCCATTATGACGGCATTCATTTCTCAAGAGGAAGAAAACTATGTAAGATTGAGTTTGTTACTTACTGGAATATCTCCACGTGCAGCACGAAATTACTTTGATTATGAATTTGCTCCGGCCAGTTTATATGCCTCCATAAAGAAAGAACATAATAAACTGTTTGCATTGAAAAAGAAAAGAACAATCAACCCATCGCAATGGAATCTCCTGTTTCCTCGAAAACCTGGTAAGTGTAAAAAATAAAGTAAGATACCTCTTCTATAATTGCCGGTAAGAACATTAGGCATTTATTTATATCATTTACTGCAAAATCTCATAATTCCAAAATTTCTTGTAAATGCAGATAATCATAACATGTGCTAATGACCCTAAATTTATCGTATTTAACGGGACTGATATTGATTTTCCTTTTGAAAATTTCAATCATAACTAAATGTATATTGAAATATATATATTTGAAAAACATACAGTTTTGAAATCTCATGATCCAAAATCCTGTAAATCCTGTTTACTTATAATTTTCATTACACAACTTTGTGTACTTCACATAAGTCAAATTTTATGGTACTTTGCTAATTGCTTTTTTTAGTTTGAAAATCGGAAGCGTAACCGTAAAATTATTGCTATATAAAATAACAAAAAATCCTAAGAAAAGCAAAACTCAAAATAGAAATAAAGATACAAGAAGATATTTTTCATGATTTGTCCGCATATACGGAAACACCATGTAGGTTGAATTTTCAAGTTTAATAACTTTTATCTGACCAGCTTTCTTAAAGTTTTCGGCCAAAATTCTTTTAAAAACGTGATGATTTCATCTTTCCCATTCCAGTCAAATTTTAAGCATTTCCCCCTTAGAATTGCACAACATTTTTGTAAATATCCGTTTTCAAAGATAGTTTGGGTTAAGATTTAAGACGGAAAATGACTGGATTATCCGCAAATTTGAAATAATTTATATTTTCAATCTATAACTAAGGGAAGTAATTTAATCAAAAGGGCCACAATCACGTAGTGCGAATCATATGAATAAAGTATAAAGCCGGTAGGATTTTGCAATATGAATCTGGGAGGACATGATTTTCTTTGAGTAGCAATTGGCTTTGAATTAGCTTTCCGTAACTTCAGATTCTGATGTCTAGTGTTTTCTTGTAAGTTGTTTTGTGCTCCGTACAGATCTTTTGAGTCTTTCATAATTTTCTTTTCGTAATTTTTTTTGTTTTACATTTTTGCATGTCGGGACCTTTTATAGCCGTGTTTGTCTTTCTCGTTATTTTTTTTTTGAAAATACCGTAAAATCAGCAAAGGAAAAGCGTGTAAAAACGATAATACAGGATTAAGCATATCAAGTTAATGTAAATAAAATAAAAGAAGATGTGGTATGATTGCCAATGAGACAACTCTCCACAAGAGATCAAAATGACACAGAAATAAACAACTATGGGTAACCGTACGGCCTTCAACAATGAGCAAAGCCCATACCGCATAGTCAGCTATAAAAGGCCCCGAAATGACAATGTAAAACAATTCAAACGAGAAAACTAACGGCCTTATTTAAGTACAGAAAATAAACGAAAAACAAATATGTAACACATAAACAAACGACAACCACTAAATTACAGGAATCTGTTCTACTTTGTAAACATAACACATCCATGATGCACTTTATTATTTTTTTTAGATGTTCCTGATTCCCGGAAATTTGACATTACCTTAATAATAACACTCCTTAGAAACCTAACGACCATAAATCCTCCTCATGGGGGATTTGACAGTTTACCCTCTGCCATAGAAACCACACCTGGTGCAGATTTAGCCAGAATCAAATACTATAGAAACTACATAGCTCATCTTAATGATGGAAAAGTTGGAACTGCAGACTTCAACACTGCATGGGACAATATATCTGGGGTAGGTTTAATGAAATATGTATACACTTTCTAGACTTTGAATATAGAGATTTTAATCAATCACTATGACAAGGTCTAGGGTGAGGCTTGGTTAGTGTACAATTTATAGATAGGGTAAGGAATGATTAATCTTTACAAAGTGTCAGCAGTAATTGAAACTATTAGTAGGGTGCCCAGTCAACAAATGTGATCGATTTGGGTTAACGGAATAACACACGGCTATATTTTATATCATTGGAAAGAGGAGAACAAGCCTCGTCGAAATATTGATGTCGTCGTTGTCTACAGTGGTCACGATTTTCTTAAATTTGGGTCAAAGGTCAAATCTAAAATTTCAAGGAAAACGTAGAGTCACGTTTAGACAGCTGGCCACCCCTACATATTTGCGTTTATAGCAAAATAAACTCGAATAATTCAAAGGATTATAACTAAAGTTTCTATATTTAGGACTAATTTGATAATTTTATTGCCAAATATGGTTCGAGATTGACATTTGTACTTATAGGGTGCACATTTACAATTTTCATTCAGCTGTTAAATAATAGTGACCTTGACCTTTTAAAAGTTCCAAAATCGGAATTTTTACATAAGATTCGATACAAGTGATCTTCGGAGATGTTTTTTAGATATTAACATTTATAAGTTGCCCTCCCAAAATGTTATTTTTTCCGTCTTTTGATATAAGGTGTTCGTCATGATTTTCTGGGTAAATATCCAATTTTTTTTGGTGAACGTGGAAGCACATCAAATAGTACTTAGTTCCCATACTGATGAATATTAACGCAGAATTCATTGAATTAGCAGGTCTGAGCATATATTTGCTTTACAGAAATAAAAAACAAACTGCAAACGGTGAAAAAGGGGGAGGGTTTATGTTACAAATTATGAAAACAAAATGAGAATTAGAAATAGCAGGCTAATCACTCCATCTTTCACACTTATATCAAGTGTAATGTACATGACTTATCGAACATAAATTGGCCTACAATTGACATGAAGTTAAAGATTATCTACAAAAAGAAAGTTTTGAACAGCATCGATGTATTTTACAAACACTTGTAAACAACATCAATCTAATTAAAATATAGATCTCTGATTTCGTTATCCTCATTTGATCATATATATAAGAGCACGCGAGTTAATAAAGATCAGAATTTTAATAAGAGCGAAACAACATAGAAAAATTACCGAAGCTAGTAGTAGCTATTACGTTTCATTGTCTACTGTTAAGGTGAAAGCCCATCGACTAGGTTTAGGTAAGAGAGCTAATTTCAGTTGTTCTTTTTTAAATCGCATTCGACGCAAGTAGCAGAATGCGAGGCATACAGAATACAATCTGATGGTGGTGGCGGTAACACCGTAAACTATTTGTATAGCTTTATATTTCAGAGGGCAGAGGAACTGGATGATTCATACTTTAAAATTGAGAATGGAAATGGGGAATGTGTCAAAGAGACAACAACCCGACCATTGAGCAGACAATATATATCCATTGTGTTACGAAGTTTCCGTCATATAATCATTATCCTATGGTTAACTCATATCCATGGTTAAGTGACTGCTGAAAAACTGTATAGCTTTTTTCGTCATGTGAAAGTCTCAATTATCACGAGTTTTAGGATAACTATATTTGGTTACTAATATATGGTTTCCTTGCAAGGTCTACATGACCGTCAGACATGATTCACCTGACCTCGACCTAATTTTACGGATCAGTGAATAAGGTTAAGTTTCAGTGGTCTAGTCCGTACAGTTTCAGATAGAAGTTGGTTAAATATATTTGGTGTATGGAATGGTAACAAGGTGTACGTGATTTTGTGGCAGAGTTCATGCATCTGACCTTAATTCATTTACATGGAACATTGATAGTGTTAATTTTATGTTATACTTGTTGTATAATATAAAACTTAGGAGATGTGGAAGCAAGCAATTATAAGCAACCGTACAGCCTTCAACCATGTGAAAAACTCATACCGTATGGTCGGCTATAAAAAGGCCAGTTATGAAAAAAATGAAAGAATTCATTTGAAAAAAAAAACTAACGGCCTGATTTATAACAAAAGCTAGTTTTTACGGTAATGATGTTTATGATCATACTTTTCTCAGACTATTGATGACGTCCTTTCATTAGTTTTCATTAAGGGAACACCCATTTGATTTCGAAAACAGGGAGGGAATGAGGATTTTGAAAATGAATTACTTGGCCTGGTATGAACTGAAATCATTGACTTTGCACAAGACAGGATGAGAATGAACACTCTTCAACATGAAATGCAGGATAGTTGAGGATATGAATGTGTACAAAAGTGAAAATAAATTTTCGCGCCGCCAGCCCCATCCCTTTCTTCAGAATATAAAATGTTCTACCCTAACGGCGAGTACTATTATATCGGTACTTTGTGTTTTTTGTCTTCATGTTAGTTGTTTTTGTGCTTCATGCCGATTTGATAAGTCAAGCCATTTCAGCAGATTTCTCTTATGCTGTGTTGTTATACCATTGACCAGGTCAGGGGAGGGTTGAAGGATCACAAACATGTTCAACCCCTCTAAATTCTGTATATGTCTGTCCAAAATCAGGAGCCTGCAATTAAGTGGTTGTCGTTGGTTGCTGTCTGTTGTATCTGTTTTTTTTTTGTTACACGAACGGTGGTATATTTTTGTTGTCGTTCCCACCTAGTGGGATTTAGGTCGAAAACATCATACAAGACTTTTGATGTGCCATATTCCGGGTGTGAAACAAAACCGACCGATTTGATTCTTATACTACAATTATAACAAAATATTTATTCAATAAAAACTTTAAAGTTTTGAAAAACAGACACAAAACAGATTTCTCCGAACAAAGTGACAATCTATAAAGTTAGTTGGCTATTCACAACAAATAAATCAACCACACAACAAGCAGAAAAGACAAATGTTTTGAGTGACCTCTGTCCTTGTTAATGACCTAATAGTGTAAGCAACAAAATAATTAATGGCACGAGATAATCCGTGTTTAATCAATACCAAAATGGTGACTTAATTTGTGTTTTTAATTGCTAATTTCTTCAAAACGATTTTTATTTCACGCATGCAATTTGGCACACACATGCACTGTGTCTTATTGCTTAAATCAGAGTAAAAAATATTGTGATGATACACGTAATTATTTTGCTTTCGATGAAAATAGGGTAAATTTCGGGTAAAATTTTACTCTTACTAAAATGTTGAAATACTTATATCAAAATCATTTAAATGCTTTTCGATTTCGTTATATGATATATTTAATATATAAACTATATTATAGGGACTGTTTTAACTACCAACAAAGAGCGCAATAATTTAATTTTTCATGTTAAAGATTCCCCGTACAATACGGTATCTGGTGGTACCTTTTAAAAACACGAAATTTAGAAAATTGTGAGCACGGGAACTTACGACGACAATCATGATTGTAAAATATAATGATCTTCCTACAATGTGCAAAATAATCAGCCGTGTGTTATCCGTTAACTTAAACTCGATAACTAGAGGACTTTTTGGACATTGGGCACCCTACTATATGTATTTTCTTGTGAAACGTTTCTAACAATCAGCTCTATTAGCTGACCATGCGTAATGAGCTTTTCTCATTGTTGAAGGCCGTACGATGATCTATAGTTGTTAATTTCTGTGTCATTTGGACTCTTGTGGAGAGTTGTCTCATTGGCAATCATACCATTTTTCTTTTTATATATATAAAGACAACTTCGTCAAACTTAAAAGAAACCTTATGCGTTAATTATATATTTATAGTCTTGTAATTGTTATAAAACACAACAAATACGATAATTTCAAACCTAATCTTGAACTACATTTTGTATATCAAATTTTTCGAAATTTACCTGTAACGTCACTTTGTAGCGTCGATCTGGTCGTGTGATAATCAATGTGTGGTTCTGTTGTGCTGTTTTTATGTGCTGCCATAGGTTGTTTTACGTGTTCGTTTTTATTCTATGGTTAGTCAGCACTTCGGTGTTGACATGAATATCAATCATATGTTCTTTTTTTTTAATTGTTTTTTTTTATTTTTTAAACTTACTGTTTGAATTATTCAAAATACTAGTACTAAGGATTTTCTTATCCCAGGCATTGATAACCGTAGCCGTATTTGGCACAACTTTTTGGAGTTTTGGGTCATCAATGCTCTTTAACTTTATACTTGTTCGGCTTTCTGACTATTTTGATCTGAGCGTCACTGATGAGTCGTATGTAGATGGAGTATTAAATTATAAGCTTGGTACCTTTGATAACTATTGGCATGTCGAAATGTTAAATTGTATTGTTTATTTGTGTATTTGTCTGTCCTGAAAGTTCTTGCATTAATTTTACTGCAGTCCTGTCATGTAATGTTGTCCTTTAAGTGTTATATTTAACATTGCAATGGAAGCGCGAGGTTTGAGTAGCCACAAAACTAGGTTCAACCTACTATTTGTTCTTAAAAAGTCAGGAAAATGGCAGTTGTTCTCTTACAGTTCGTTTCCCTCGGTCTTAGTTTGTAATTTGGATTTGTTTTCTCTAAATCGATTTATGACTTTCGAACAGCGGTATACTACTCTTGCGTTTATTTAAGCCTTTTCACGCATTTTATATATATGATGGTCATTCATTTGTATAGCTGACTTATTGAAGATAAATTGTCCAGGTATGTCAAGCTTTGTGGTTATAATTAAAAGTTATAGAGATTAAGGTTCTTGATGTTCAATTTAAAGTGTTATTTATTTCGATTACGCCAAAAAAGATACGTAAGAATGAAAAACATTTTCAGTATTGAAAAAAATATTTTTCAATTTCTAATTCAAACAAAGCAAATAAAGTATATGTCATCGATCTTTTTTTTAAAGTCGTACGGTGACCTATAGCTGTTAATTTCTGTGTCATTTGGTCTCTGGTGGAGAGTTGTATCATTGGCAATCATACCACATCTTCTTTTTATATGAGTAGTTTTCATGTGTTTTCTCATATGTTTTTTTTCGAGGAAAAGAGGGGTTTTTTTTGGAACACTGAATACGTCAATTTACAAGTTTACCCATACTTTTCGTCAAAATTGGAAATTTGCAACTTAAAAAAGCGCACATTCTTTTTTTTTTCTTTCAACAATAACAACAATTTTCCGCTATTTTGTTTTCCGGTAATTCACGTCTCATATACTATAGATAATTCAGCTGATCTGTAACAATACCATCTTCATGCCTTATACATCATGTACTGTATTACGACGCTAGATTAAAACTGACGAGGAAAGGTAACATCCGGCCACCGAAAGCTTTATTAAGTGAAACCAAGGTAGTCGAGTGGTCTAGCGCGTCGGATACAGTGCAGGCGATTTGGTGTCACGATATCTCAATAGCATGAGCTCGAATCCCGGCGAGGGAGGAACAAAAAATTTGCGAAAGCAAATTTACAGATCTTACATTGTTGGGCTGATGTTTAGACGAGCTGTATATATACAGTCAAGCTCTCAGAGTAAAGCGGATTTGCTCCTCTGAGGAGGCTGTCACTAAACGGTTACAGGAACTTCGCGGTTTTTTTACCAAACGAGGTTATAAGAAATTGGACATAGATAAGGGATTTGCGCGTGCTAATAACAACAGCCGCAATGACCTATTACAGTACAAACAGAAGAGGCGCAACAAAATAGTTCCGTTTGTTTTAACATACAATCCCGTCTTTACTAACCTTTCACGTTTGATACGTGCCAATTGGCAAACTATTGCCAATCACCCAAAATTATCCAAGATCTTTCCCAATCCTCCTGTCTTAGCTTTTCGGAGACCAGCAAGTCTGAAAGACTTATTTGTGAGAGCTGACGTCTCCTCTAGTAAAATCTGTTCAACTGCAGGATGGTGCAAGTCGTGTGGTAACAGACGATGTCTGACTTGCCAACAAATACTGAATACTCTAACATTTACTTGATGGAGAATTTTAAGATTTTTTCTGAGAACTGAATGTATATTTGGAAGCGCTTTGGAAAAAGTAATCACCAAGGGTACTCTGTCGTTTATTTTCTTTGGTTTGTACTGTAATAGATCGTCTCGGTTTAGAATGTCGACTTTTTTTAATTAAACTTCAGTTGACGAGTTATTGTATCCACGTGTTTTCAGGTGCGTTTTTATTTCTTCTCTTCTTATTTTGTAATTTTCTTCTGTTGAGCAAATTCTTTTGACACGAATACCGAGTCCACATGGTTTAGCACTTTTTACAGAATTTGGATGGCTTGACGAAACATGTAAGTACTGGTGTTTATCTGTGGATTTTGTAAAAAGATCTGTTTTAAGTTTTCCGTTTTCTATGTTTACAAACACATCAAGAAATTCGATTTTTTTCAGTTGAGTAACGCATTTCTGTTTTAATTCGCGGATGTAAATTATTGGACAATTCGTGAAATTTTTTTAATTCATCTAAACCATGTTCCCATATTCCCCAGATGTCATCAACACATCTCCAATATGAAAACGGGTGTAAATTGCTGTTTTGGAATAAATTTTCCTCCCATTGTTCGAGGTAGGTGCAAGCATAATTCATGCCTAGATGGGAACCAATAGCTGTTCCTTCTGTTTGTAAAAAGTGCTTTCCGTTAAAGCTAAAATTATTATTTTCAATGACAAAGTCCATCAAGGTTTTAAGTTTGTGCCGACTAGAAGAAAAGTAGACATGGGAAAACTTATAGCCGATTTGGTCGAAAGGTTTTAAGTTTGTGCCGACTAGAAGAAAATTAAAACAGCGAATTAAAACGCGAATTAAAACAGAAATGCGTTACTCAACTGAAAAAATCGAATTTCTTGATGTGTTTGTAAACATAGAAAACGGACAACTTAAAACAGATCTTTTTACAAAATCGACAGATAAACACCAGCACTTACATGTTTCGTCAAGCCATCCAAATTCTGTAAAAAATGCTATACCATATGGACTCGGTATTCGTGTCAAAAGAATTTGCTCAACAGAAGAAAATTACAAAATAAGAAGAGAAGAAATAAAAACGCACCTGAAAAAACGTGGATACAATAACTCGTCAACTGAAGTTCAATTAAAAAAAGTCGACATTTTAAACCGAGACTATCTATTACAGTACAAACCAAAGAAAGAAAACGACAGAGTACCCTTGGTGATTACTTTTTCCAAAGCGCTTCCAAATATACATTCAATTCTCAGAAAAAATCTTAAAATTCTCCATCAATCTAACAGGCTAAAGAAAATATTCCCCGATCCGCCTATCGTAGCATTTAAACGCGACAACAACATAAAAGATATCTTAGTACACAAGAAGCACAACTTACAATTTTATAAACAAACTAATGGCTGTGGACCATGCGGTAAAAATTGTGAATTATGCTCACACATAAATGAAACCAAGGTATTTTGTGACAACACCGGGAAAGAATATACCATTCAGGGACAAATAAACTGTAAAACCGTGGGCGTAGTATATGCAATTAACTGTACAAAATGCGAAAAACTTATATATGAAGGACAAACAGGTGATACACTTTATCAACGGATGCTATTGAACTTTTCAAAAATACGAACAAACAAAACAGACGATCCAGTAGCAAACCACTTCATTCAGCATAATCATTCGATGAAAAATTTAAAAGTTACCGCCATAGAAAGAGTATTTGGAACAGAAATTTACAGAAAAACTAAAGAAGCCTTTGGATAAAAAAATAAAAAACTTTAGATCCTGATGGACTCAACACAATGTATGAAAGATAGTGAAATTATTTATAAAAAAAAAAAAAAAAAAAAAGAAAAATACGCGACAAATAAACGTCATAGTAGTTATTATAACGTAATGTATCCAAGCGGTGTAATTGTTGTTTCAATGTTGTAATGTATTTCAATGAAGAAAGCCGTAATGGCCGAAACGTATGAAAAATTTATATATACTTTTTACTTTTTTGGTCTTTTGGAAAATGTTGTTTGTGCTGTATTAAGACCCCTCTAACAAGAAATTTGTTTTGCATGCACACGTATAAAAATTTCGGTTTTTATCCAACGCAATCATAGGTTTGAATGTTGTTTTCAATTTAGACGTGTTTATATATATATATGTTGTTTGTGCTGTATATATATATATATATATATATATATATATATATATAAGTCTGAAAATTACACCCAACAGTGTTAGAATTAGACTTTTATGCTGACAAATTTTTGTCCCTCAACGGGATTCGAACTCACACCTTTGATACACTACAGCACCAATCGCTTAGCCTCATGTCCAGCGCTCTAGACCACACGACCACATCCGCTATATAAAAATATAACTTCAATAGTCGTAGTGTTACCTTGTCACGTAAGGCGAATCTAGAGATAGACCTAAGACATGTGTTTTTTAAGCGTGTGAAGATGTTATATTATTATTTAATACACAATGTATTTGTTATTTGTCAGCAATCTAACTCAACAATTTTTATATACCGTATGGGATAATGAATCAATTCATTATACAGTCACTAGAAATAAGTATATCATACAAACAAGTCTAAGCAAGTGACAACCATACAATATATATGCCCACTGGATCTCAGTGTGTTTGAGACACAGGGTTAATACAAATATTTATATAAGTCTGAAAATTACACCCAACAGTGTTAGAATTAGACTTTTATGCTGACAAATTTTTGTCCCTCAACGGGATTCGAACTCACACCTTTGATACACTACAGCACCAATCGCTTAGCCTCATGTCCAGCGCTCTAGACCACATATATATAATTAGATATTTCGTGAAAAGAAAAAATAAAATCATATCTTTTCTAGGCCTGTAAGAGATTAGGAGGACAGCAAATGAAACAGGAGTGTGACCATTTGAAAATAAAGCCTTTCGATCGGAACAACCAAGAAATAATGATGGACATCAAACATTCTGGTGACGAAATCAGAGAGCTGAAAGAATCTTTTAAAAGTCTGAAGCAGTCCCATGATGAAATCAAGGGATCTTATGAATTGTTAAAGGAAGACCATGTAGATGTAACAACTAATATGAAAATAATGAAAGATACTGTACCATGGAATATAAGAGGTAAACAGTAAACATGATAACAAAGTATTATAAATTTGCCAAATGGACCTCGTAGCGCTTTATTTATCTACATTAATTCTATATGCAGCAGTAACGACAAAGTGTTATAAGCTTCGATGATAATAGAACTTTCTGGATTTTCTTCACAGAAAGATGGTTCATCTGCTATCTTAACTTATTTATAATATCATGAATAAAATACTGAACAAGAAACTGGATTGTCATGATAATATTTGTTAAAGGGTTTGTTAGTGACCTAATACGATATATATGGGGTCAGTAAATTACATATGGGTCGAGAGCAAAGCTCGAATTTCCATATGTAGTTTACTGACGCCGTATATATCGTATTAGGTCACTAGCACATCATGTAACGATGTTATCATACTGACTATCTTCGCATGTGGTTTTTAGACTAACGGCCTATCAAAGGAAATAAGTCCTCATGCAATACTTAGTATAAACACGACATAGAACCTACTTCCATTTGTCAATACAAAAATCAATTGCCAACAATAACAACTTCTAAGCTTTACATTTGTTTTATGAATTTATTTCAATCTTTCATTATTAATTTCTTCGTCTGTTGAAACCTTTCAATTTTCTTCTTGTTTAAAAGGGAAGTAACTACTTCCTAACCCCATATGATAATTAACCCTATATGTTAACTAACCCCAATTTCTTCAAGACACCCTATATCAAATATATGTAGTCATTTAACCAATCATATCCATAAAAATCTACAAGAGGTAAGTTAAACTGTAATCTAGTAATGCAAAAAATGACGATAACATGAATAAAAACTTACATTGTTATTCATGTATAAAGTAAAGATATATTTTCCTTTCATCAAAAGTTTCATTTCTGCTAATTTTCAACTTGTTTTGAAGAACCATTTTTGGCAGGGAAAGGATATATATGTTTTTAAGTGGAGTCGATTCATTGGTGGTCTAACACCTAAAGAGACATACAAGTTTATTAGTGGTCTTTTGTTTTGCTATATTTTTTATCCTCGGACATTGTGAAGTAAATAAGCATATCATATCATATCACAAAATATAAAGCTCGATTTGAATAGACTGTAATGTATGACTTTAATAGAAATTACTTGATATTCAATGTCTGACTACATAAACATCAACTTTAAATATGGAGATCAATTGCGGTTGGTTTGTTTGGCTCTATCCTACTGTGTTTAAGATTTTTTGTAACATTCAGCACGAGTTTAGAAGATAAAAAAAAAATCAATAGAAATTAAGTGTCAAGGGATCCCCTTTTTATCTTTAAAATATCAGTAGTGGGCAATTAATTTTACTAATAATACTGTTATAGTCATAAAACATTTATTTTTTACTATAAATTAATTATATCTAAAGTAGAAGACTTTTATTTCAATAAATGTTACAGTTTTTGATTTCTCAATTTCCTATTTAAATTCATAACTCGTTTGGCTTCTACGGTCAATTTTTTTTTAAATTTCTACAAAATATTTGCTTTATTTACCCGTTGCCTTAGGTTTCAGACATTTTAGACCTTAACTAACCGAAAATACACCACCTAAGCTCAATTGAATACTGTTTTCGCACCAAAAGTCATTCACTGGTCATACCTGACTTAAATAAAAGAAGATTTATCGAATATTTAAAAAAATTCAAAACTTGATGACAATGTGTCTGTTTTAGGTCAAATGGTATCTTTCGAAAAGTCACGTGATCTTAAGGGAAAATGGGAAAAATTCGAAATCCATGCGAGGAAAGTCTTGTACAAACATATTGTTGCACTAATAGTGCATAGTTTTGGTAATAGAGACAGACAAGTTAGTTTAAACAGATGAATACGTAATATATGCCTTTGAAATATCGATGTCAATTACATTCAAAAGAAACAATTGCAAAGTTTTTTCGTCCAAATCCAATTAATGAAAAAAGTGTTCACCTAAATCGTGTTCACGTGAGGGATAGCGCTTGATTTCATATGATGAAGACATAATCAATCAGTTTAATTGATGTATGTAGCTGGTAAGTCGGTTGCTGCTTGCAGGCCTTTCTTAATTTATAAAATTGAGAATGGAAATGGGGAATGTGTCAAAGAGACAACAACCCGACCATAGAGCAGACAACAGCCGAAGGCCGTATCGTTGTCATTTTTTCTGTTACCTTTTCTTACATCAGACTTGGAATTCTTTTAAGTTTAGTTTAACTACTGTGGATTCATTAATATTCGTTGGATACCAATTTTCGTGGATTTCGTGGGTACAGTGGAACCACGAATTTAAATGTTCAACGAATTACAAATTTTCTAAAGGAATGTATGCAGACTTTGCCAAAACCACGAATTTAAATATCCACGAATATGCAAGTTTTTCTCAATCCACGAAAATTGGTACCCACGAAAAAAAATGAATCCACAGTATGCATATTGCTATATGTTTATTTATTCTACAATGGGTAGAGTTTAGTGTGACGTACATTTCCCCTGAACTACTCCTCAATTTTGTTAAGGGGCCATCTGAATCACGCCTTTTGGTGCATCATTTTATCGCTGTGTGTTTAGTAGCATTGGGCTGTTTTATGCTGTTTGATCGGCTTTTTGTCTCCTTGACACATTCCCCGTTAAGTTCTAATAAGGGAAAATGCATTGAATAACCAATATCAACAAGAAGATGTGGCATGATTGCCAATGAGACAACTCTCCTAAAAATACCAAATGACCAAGAAATTATCAACTATAGGTCACCGTAAGGCCTTCTTCAATGAACAAAGCCCATACCGCATAGTCAGCTATAAAAGGCCCCGAAATGACAAATGGAAAACAATTCAAACGAGTCTACATGCAATACTTAGTATAAACATGCCAAAGAACCTACTTCCATTTGTCAAACGAGAAAACTAACGGCCTGATTTATGTACAAAAAATGAACGAAAAACAAATATGTTACACATCAACAAACGACAGCAACGGAATTGCAGGCTCCTGACTTGGGACAGACAGTACATACAGAATGTGGCGGGGTTAAAGGTCGATGCCACTGCTGGTGGAGTTTTAATTCCCCGAGGGTATCACAAGCCCAGTAGTCAGCACTTCTGTGCTGACATGAATTGTCATTGATATTCATAAATTAACTGTTTACAAATCTTTTGAATTTTTGAAATACTAAAGCTTTTCTACCTCAGGAATAGATTACCTTAGCTGTATTTGGCAAAATTTTTAGGAATTTAGGTCCTCAATGCTCTTCAACTTCGTACTTTATTTGGCCTTTTTAACTTTTTTGGATTCGAGCGTCACTGATGAGTCTTTTGTAGACGAAACGCGCGTCTGGCGTAAATACAAAATTTAATCCTGGTATCTATCATGAGTTTATTTACAACCACTGGGTCGATGCCACTGCTGGTGGAGTTTTAATTCCTCGAGGGTATCACAAGCCCAGTAGTCAGCACTTCTGTGCTGACATGAATTGTCATTGAAATAGTCAGATTTATAAATTAACTGTTTACAAATCTTTTGAATTTTTGAAATACTAAAGCTTTTCTACCTCAGAAATAGATTACTTTAGCTGTATTTGGCAAAACTTTTAGGAATTTTGGTCCTCAATGCTCTTCAACTTCGTACTTTATTTGGCCTTTTTAACTTTTTTGGATTCGAGCGTCACTGATGAGTCTTTTGCAGACGAAACGCACGTCTGGCGTAAATACAAAATTTAATCCTGGTATCTATGATGAGTTTATTTAAACATGTAAGCGGGATCCCAAAAGAGGGGCGAAAGATACCATGGGGACAGTAAAACTCATAGATCAAAAATAAACTGACAATGCCATGGTTGAAAAAGAAAAAGACAAACACACAAACAACAGCACAGAAGACACAACATAGGAAACTAGAGACTAAACAAGACGAACCCCACCAAACAATGGGGGTGATATCATGTGACCCGGAAGGGTGTTCAGATCCTGCTATACATGTAGCAACCCTCCCCTAACCTGAGACAGTGGTGTAACAGTACAACATAAGAACGAACTATAAAAATCAGTTGATAACGGCTTAATTCATCAGATGGATACAAATAGAAATACATCTAACAAAAATGTCTACTTGATGTGGCACGACGTGGTTTGAAGCCAATGAAACAAAGCGGAAAAAAGGGGGTTGCAATTAAGCAAAGCAATTATTTTGAAAATAAACTTTATTTCCCTTTTTCATTCTCAATTTTATTTAATGTTCTGTATCAGACTTTTGCATGTCATTTAAAAATAGGGAAATGTGATATGATTGCCAATGAGACAACTATCCACCCAATTTCAAAAGAAGTGGATAGTTCGTTTTCTTTTTGAAATTGAAAGTAAAGTTAAGTTACATTTGATATAGGAAATAATTCTTTCATTTTCGCACGCGATCTTCCTGCAGTTAGTTGGTTCAGCATATACTTACAACACTCTCCCTTGACACCATTTGCGAGTATAGTCCATCGGAAGGGGACGATAAATGGCTGACCCGTGTTAAGAGAGAGCCATATCTCTTGCACGTAAAAGACACGCTTGTAGATTTCGAAAAAGAGCAGGCTAATGACAAACAGGCAACACTCGCACCCACAAAGTGGAAAGGAATTAATATAAGTTGCAATAACTTGTTTCCCAATCCACTATAAATAAATATGTTTAAATTATACTTACAACACTGACATCCTAAGAAAATTAATGAAATTTCAGTAATAGAGTTTTCTACTCAAGACTCGAGAAAGAACAAAATAAGAAGACCAACGTCCAGTTTGTTTTCTTTTACAAGTAATAAGTTAAGGTGATATGTTTTGTCGGCAAATTCATGAATTTAGACAAATGTAGGAGGAATCCATGCCTTAGTATGACATTTTTTAAAAATTTACATATACATATTCCTTCATCTAAAATAAGGTGTTTTCACCTTTATCTCGAGTCAGCTCTTTCGAAGGCTTTTTTTACATCTTTTTATATTTTACTCAAACAAATTCAGGACATTTAAGGAGTTTTTGTCTTTTTTTCAAATAATCCTCTAAGACATGAAAACGAATTTTAAGCGGACATCACCAAAAAGATCCACCAATAATGATTATGCAATGACATCCCCATAAAATTTAAACTTTATATATTTGACACATCTTAAAACCTTTATATATATATATATATATATATATATATATATATATATATATATATATATATTAGTACGTCTGAACCAGTGACAACTCTACGACAGATTATATCCATCGGATCACCAGTGCTCGTGATACAACGCTGAAAAGACATTCTGTATATACAATTCGTGTAAATATCAGCCCAACAATGTTAGATCTGTAAATTTTTAGAGCATATTGTTTTGTTCTTCCCTAGCCTGGATTCGAACTCATGCTACTGAGATATCGTGACACAAAATCGCCCTTCACTTTGCCCGACGCGCTAGATCACTCGACCGCCTAGGCTCTACATCTAAATTTAAAACTACGTTCAAACCTATGATTGCGTTGGATAAAAACTGCAATTTTATACGTGTTCATGCAAAAAAATGTCTTGGTAGATGGGTCTAAACACAACACAAATTACATTTTATATACATGTATATCATAAAATACGTTTAAATAAGACATTTAAAACCTAAGGATGTATAGATTTATAGAAAGATATGGATTTATATGATCATCACGGATCTAAAATGTATAGCCAAATTCATCTGAGGTCAATGAGTTTGAATCTTAGTGTATACGTTGTTTACGGTGCTTTTTTTAATATAAGGTCATTTATCATGTATGTACCGCAAGGTTTGGTTGTATAACTGATGCTTCCGCGAGGACTAACAGTTCACAACAGCGGTTACCGTAAAGCAACAGTCAATTGCTTATTTATAAGATCAACTATTTTACTATGATACCAAAGTTTACAGAATGTAGGTTCCATGTATGTCAATATTTCTTTATTCATATTTCAGCAAGAATAAAAGACACACTAAAAGAATGGAAAACCAACGATGATGAAATGTTTATAAAGACACGAGCTGCCCAACATGTACTCAAATGCATTAAAGAAAACAGTACTGTGACGATAACAGCTAGTTCTGGTGTTGGAAAAACTTCTATTCTCCGACACGTAGCTTTACAAATGGCACAACTAGAGTATGATATTATTCCGGTGACAGATCCAGGTGACATTGTGAAGTTTAACAATCCAAATAAGAAAATATTGTTTGTTGTTGATGATTTATGTGGAAACTTTTCTGTCGACCAGAGTGATATCAGAAGTTGGGAACCATTAAAAGAAGATTTAAATAAAATTCTCCTAAATCAAGAAACAAAACTTATTGCAGCATGTAGGTTACAAGTATTCAAAGATGAAAAATTTCAATTTTTATCAGTTTTTCAATCATGTGTATGTAACTTGTTATCAAAAAAAATTCGTTTGTCAAAAACTGACAAACAAGCAATAGCAGAGCTATATTTGAAAGCAAAAGCTCCAGAGATTACTGACTATTATCATCTATATGATTGTTTCCCTCTTTTATGTAAACTGTATCACAATAATCCAAAACTTAATGTCAAAGATTTCTTTCAGAATCCATTTTCAGTTTATGAAGCAGAGATTGGCAAGCTTCTTAAGAAAGGGCATCACATAAAATACTGTGCCTTGGCTTTATGTGTTATGTTTAACAACAAGTTAAAAGATGAAATTTTGACAGACGAGGTGAACGAAGAAACCATGACTGTTATTGAAAACACATGTGAGGCATGTAGATTAGACAGGGGAACATCTAGACTTGTCATACAAGACGAACTTAACTCACTTAAAGATACATTTATAAAAAAAGAGCAGAACATGTACAAGATTATACATGATAAAATATTTGACTTTCTGGTGTATTTTTTTGGTAAAGAAATAACCTATTGCTTGATAAAAAATGCAGCGAGTGGACTGATCAAAGAAAGATTTTTATTATACAGAAATGATGATATGCAGCAGTTCATAACTGTTATATCTCCAAAGGATCATCTGATTTTCTTAGAGAGAATGATTGATGATTGGTCAAAGGGAAAAGTTCAAGATGTATTTAATAACATTAATATGAAGATGCCTGAATTTAGATATGAGTTTCTGTCATATCTGAATAAACTGGATATACCATATCAGAAAAAGCTAGCACACTTATGTAATAAACATGAACATGATGCTGGTGATGATAATGACAACGACGACGACGATGACGACGACGATGATAATAATGATGATGATGATGATGATGATGATGATGATGATGATGATGATGATGATGATGATGATGATGATGATGATGATGATGATTACAATGGCCATAATTATAGGTCAGATGAGTATGACGATGAAGAGGGTAATGGTGTGAAGGAGGACAATGATGAAGTAGAGGAGGAGGAGAACGAAGACGACGAGCAAGAGGACGAAGCGGAATACAATGATGTTGAGCAGGAAGAGATGGATGATGAGGATATGGATGAAGAGGAAGTGGAAGATGACAACGAGCAAGTCGAAGAGGAGGATAATGATAACGAGCAAAGCGAGGCGGACACGGACAGTGACAATACCGAGGTTGAGGACGTCGATGACGACGAAGACGAGGACAATCAGGAAGAAGAGGACGGTGACTATGATACTGCTTTAATGTATTCTTGCTCTATAGGAGATATTGATTTATTTCTGTGGTGTTGCAATTTTGGTGTCGATATTAACAAAGGTACTTCCGACGGTCAGTATCCTGTCACGAAGGCATGTATATATGGTCATACAGAAATAATCAGGGCGTTGTTAGACAGGGGAGTAGACTATAATAAATCTAGCAAATATGGTAACCCACCTGTAATGATAGCCTGCGTAAATGGTCATACAGAAATAGTAGAGATATTGTTAGACAGTGGTGTAAACTATAAAAAATGTGACTCACAGTCTCGATCACTTTTAACAGCAGCTTGTGAAAATGATCACACAGAAATAGTGATGATGTTGTTAAACAGAGGAGCAGACTGTAATAAATATGATAATTTAGACTCGTCACCTATATATGTAGCCTGTCTAAAAGGTCATACAAAAACCGTTAAGATATTGTTGGACAGAGGGGCAAACTATAATGAATGCGATTCGAGTGGACGTTCACTTGTAGATATGGCTTCTGAATATGGTCATAACGAAATACTGAACATGTTGTTAGACAGAGGTGCAGTCTTTACAACATTTGATAATAATGATGAAATAGAGACATGTGACATGAATCATAATGACGCAATAAGTATTTGGTTAAACAGGGGTCAAATCTGTTCTAAATGCCGTACTTATAAAAAGTCTCCTGTTATGGAAGTTTGTGAACTTGGTCATATAGAAATAGTAAAGACGTTTTTAGACAGAGGAGTAGACTGTAATCTCTGTGACAGATGGGGTCAGACACTTTTAATGGCTGCTTGTGAACATGGCCATACAGAAATAGTAAAGTTGTTGTTGGACGTAGGAGCAGACTGTAATAAATGTGACAGAAAGGGTCGATCACTTTTATTTATGGCTTGTAGACATGGTTATACAGAAATAGTAAAGATGTCGTTAAACAAAGGAGCAGAATATAATAATTGTGACAAAGAGAACAAATCACCTATAAGTATGGCTTGTGAAAATGGTCATACAGAAATTGTGAAGATGTTGTTGGACATAGGTGCAGATTATAGTAAATGTGACAATTCTGGAGAGTCACCTGTAATGATGGCTTGCCAACATGGCGATAAAGAAATAGTAAACGTGTTGTTAGACAGAGAAGAAAACATTAATGCATGTAGCTCTTATGGAAACTCACTTCTAATGAACGCATGTCAATTTGGTAATACAGAAATAGTAGAGATTTTGTTAGAAAGAGGGGCAGACTATAATAAATGTAACTCGCATTATCTGTCACCTTTGATGGCGGCTTGTGACAGTGGTTATACAGAAATAGTAGAGACATTGATAAAGAGAGGAGCAGACTATAATACATGTGATCGAAATGATCAGTCACCTGTCTATAAGGCTTGTAATCGTGGTGACGCAGACATTTTAAAAATATTGTTAAGCAGGGGAGCAGAATTTAACAAATGTGACAAAGATAACCAGTCACCTATACTAAGAGCTTGTGAATATGGTCATACAGCAGTAGTGAAGATGTTGTTAGACAAAGGAGCAGACTATAATAAATGTGACAATAATGATAAGTCACCTTTCATAATCGCTTGTGAGCATGGTCATACAGCAATAGTGGAGAAGTTTTTAGACAAAAGAGAAGACTATAATAAATGTGACAAACGGGGTGAATCACTTGTAATGAAGGCTTGTGATAATAGTAGAACAGAATTATTGAAGATATTGTTAGACCGAGGAGCAGACTGTAATAAATGTGACATTGATGATCAGTCTCCTCTTATGATTGCCTGTGAACAGTTTGATACAGAAATAATTGAGATGTTGTTAGACAGTGGTGCAGACTATAATAAATGTAACAAAAGTGGACAGTCACCGGTAATGATAGCTTATGAATATGGTTATGAGGAAATTATCAAGATGTTATTGAAAATAGACAAAGAATTTAATAAACGTGACAAAAGGGGTCGGTCACATTTAATGGTTGCTTGTGAATATGGTGACACAAAAATAATAAAGACGTTGTTAGACAGAGGAGCAGACTACAATACGTGTGACTCTACCGGTTGGTCACCTGTATTAATGGCTTGTGAACATGGTCATACTAAAATAGTTAAACTGTTGCATGACAGAGGAGCAAACTATAATATGTGTGACCATTGGGGTCGGTCATCTTTGATGATAGCTTGTGAAAATGGTCATAAAGCAATAGTGAAGATTTTGTTAGACAATGGAGCAGATTATAATAAATGTGACAAGTGGGGTCAGACACCTTTAATTATGGCTTGTGAAAATGGTCACACAAACATAATAAAAATACTGTTAGATAGAGGAGCGGACTTGAATCAAAGTGACATCAGAGGTCGATCATATATTATGATAGCAACTGAGCGTGGCCACACAGACTTAGTCAAGATGTTGTTAAACAGAGGGGTAGACTGTAATAAATTTAACAGGATAGGTCAATCACTTGCAATGATTGCTTGTAAACATGGCCATGCAGAAATATTAAGTATGTTCTTAGACAAAGGAGTAGATTATAATAAATCTGACTATTATACTCAGTCACCTTTGATAAAAGCCTGTGAACTTGGACATACAGAAATAGTAGAGATACTATTAGCCAGGGGAGCAGATTTGAATCAATGTGATTGTAATGGTCAGTCACCTACAATGAAGGCTTGCGAATACGGTCAAACAGAAATATTCAAGATGCTTTTAGAGAGAGGGGCAGACTACAACAAATGTGATTGTAATAGTACGTCACCTTTACTGAAGGCCTCTGAATATGGTCATACAGAAATAGTAAAAATGTTACTAGAGAAAGGAGTACGGTATAATAAATGTAATAGGAGGGGCCACTCACCTGTAATGAAGGCTTGTGTAAAGGGTCATACAAAAATAGTGAATTTGTTGTTAGACAAAGAAGTAGACCTTGATCAACAAGATGAAAACGCACAGACACTTGTCATGAATGCTTGTAAGCATGATCATACAGAAATACTGAAGATGTTGTTAGACAGAGGAGCAGACTATACTATTTGTGATAAGTATGACCAATCGCCTGGAATGATTGCTTGCGAACATGGTCATGCAGAAATATTGAAGATGTTGATAGAGAGAGGAGCAGACTGTAATAAATGTGACAAGATTGGTAGGTCACAAGTGATGAAAGCTTGTGAATATGGTCATACAGTGATAGTAAAGATGTTAATAGATCAAGGGGCAGACGTTAATATAATTGATTGTATAGGATGGTCACTTCTGATGATAGCGTCTGAAGATAATCATACAGAAATAGTTAAGATGTTGTTAGACATCGGAGCAGACTGTAATACATGTGACGAATATGACCAGACACCTGTATCAAAGGCATGCGTTCATGGTCATACAGAAATATTGGAGATGTTGATAGACAGAGGATCAGACTTCAAAAAATGTGATAGGCGGGGTCAGTCACCTGTTATGAAAGCTTGTGCAAATGGGCATACACAAGTAGTTAAAATGTTGTTAGACATAGGCATAGACATTAACATGCATGATGACAATGATCAGACACTTGTAATGGAAGCTTGTGAACATGGTCATACGGAAATAGTAATGATGTTGTTAGACAAAGGAGTAGACTGTAATAAATGTAATAGTTATGATCAGTCACCTATATTGATGGCTTGTGAATATGGTCATACAGAAATATTCAAGATGTTGATAGAGAGTGGAGCAGACTATAGTAAATGTGACAGTATAGGTCGGTCACCTATAATGATTTCTTGTGAACATGGTCATACTGAAATAGTAGAGATGTTGTTGGATCGAGGGGCAGACTGCAGTAGACATGATTGTATGGGTTGGACACCAGTCATGATGGCTTGTGAAGAGGGGCACGCAGAAATAGTGAGAATTTTGTTAGACATCGGTGAAGACTGTAATGAATGTAATGAAGATGACCAGACACTGTTAGCAAAAGCATGTGAAAAAGGTTTGACTGACATATTACAGTTGTTGTTAGACAGAGGAGCAGACTATGATCGATACGATAGCATTGGTCGGACACCTTTAATGATTTCTTGTGAATATGGTCATACTGAAATAGTAGAGTTGTTGTTAGACGAGGGAGCAGACTGCAGTATAAATGATTGTATGGGTTGGACACCAGTAATGATGGCTAAAGAAAAGGGTCACACAGAAATTGTGAGAATGTTGTTAGACAGCGAAGACGACTGTAATGAATCTGATGAGGATGAAAAGAATCAAAATTGTTTCTGCTGTTGCGGAATCAAAAGATGTTGTTTTTAAGATTTTCTTTACATGTTCAAATTTGGCTGATATATTTACGTATTGAATTCTTAACACAAAAATTTTGTATAAATATTGTACTGTGGTATATTGACAGTGTACAGATATATATATATGATATTTTACTGACATTTGATATATGTAACTTTCCTACTGTAATTTATTTTATTTATGTACTGAAATATGCTAAATGAACCTAACTTTTTTGCGAATACTTTATTTCATTTTGAATTAAGCTTTTCCTGACGACTTCGGGATTTTTCAAATTAACTTGATGTAGTTAAGAAAAAGATCAAAATTTGACATATTTTCGACGATTGACATATTTTCATCTTTCTTAGATATGCTTTATTATTCTGAGATGTATAAATTTGGGCTGGGATATGCCACTAGAATACTAAGATATGTTTTATGTCAAAGCCTTCCTGGGTATGATAACAGTGTATAATCATATACAAAATGCTGATTTCATTGTTGTAAGATTTAAATCTTTAAAAAGAATTATGCCACTGTTTCTGAGATTTTTTGCTGGCGTCAATTAAGGCCACAGTAACTTACTGATATTTAAATCCCGCAAATCGAAAAGTAAGTTTAGTGTAAACATACATGAGCGTAATGTTTTAATTGAGACATCTTAACGAATTACAATATAGCAGAGTATACATGTACTGCTGTCACAAAATTATAAGAAAATATTGTAGCAGGATATAACATATTTCTGTTATGAATGTTTATTACTATTTTGAGGGATACAAACACGTTTATATTGTAAAATGGTTGACATTTTTACTTGAAGAAACTGACTAAATGTGTCACTTCTGTAAGATATCTTTTATATACCGTTGGAGAAATAATGATATTAATGAAACTCATATGGCTTTTTACATTTGTTTCGTTTTGTAAGACATATATTACTATTCCTTAAGGATTTGATATCGATCTAAGTGAGTGGATCATTTACCAGATATTATTTGAGAATCTGGAAATTGGACATATATTCTTACAATGTTCATCTAGATAAGCTATTGATTTTGATAATTTAAAAAAAAGTTTGTTTTGACATTGAATACAAATGTCCATCTTTTCTTTTAATACTTATTATACTTTTTAAATTCTATGTTTTACACTGTAAGGCATATCTTTCATTATCATTCTGTTGGATGTATGTACAAACTAATTGTGAATAAATTGTTAATTATACTGTCAGAAATTACATTTGTTATCGTTCATGCACTGTCATAAAAAATCATAATGGTTTTTCATCGATGAGAACATACGAGTCATTATAAGGTGATATGCAGTGGAAACGATTATCTTTGAAGACAATATCAGGATTCTAGTGATAAAAATTCAAAAGAGTCTTAATAAGGTCTAAAATGATCAGAAGAAATCCTATGAGTCGTTTTAAGAAATCTACGTGCACATGGGCATACTTATAACATGTACAATGTCTAGTGATTAGAAAAGAACAGCCGCAGGGGAAATCACGAGGTCTTCATTTGAGAAATACATTCTATTGAGAGATATTATAAAGTTTCAATGACAAGAACAACAATAAGAGTTATTATAAGGTCGTACGTAGTGATAATAGTATAAGTGGTCGTCATATTATGGTTTCCAGCGATGAGTTCAAACATTTTAGTCATAATAAGGTATGTGGGAGTTGGAACCTTAATTTCTCTATAATTTCTGGATTTGTGCAATTCTTTTTTTTATTTCACGAAGTTTACCAAAAACAGAAAAGTCAGACACATCATTTAACAACACCCCTTAAACTGTTTGCTAAAACAAATCTTCTTTACAGGCTTTACTTTTTAATATTTTTGTACATAACTTCAAACAAATTTCATATTTTCCGGGTGGTTTCTAGAGTAAAAGAGGGGCAAAAGATACCAGAGGGACAATCAAATTCATAGATCGAAAATAAACTGACAATGCCATGGCTAAAAAAGAAAAAGACAAACAGACAAATAATAGTACACAAGACACAACATAGAAAACTAAAGACTAAGCAACACAAACCCCACCAAAAACTGGGTGGAATATCAGATACTCCTAAAGGGTAAACAGATCCTGCTCCAAATGTGACACCCGTCGTGTTGTATCAGTTTTTTTACCAATGAAAATCTTCAGTCTGTCCATTCACGAAAGAATTAAATAGAACGTTTTGAGTACGCACTTATATTTTGGTTATCGTTACATCGAAATATAAAAAAAAAATTGGTCACCATTTGTTACGTATTTTTTGTTGGTAATTTGATTAGTATAATTTACAGAGATGTAAGGGGAAATACGTACTTTAATTTGGAACTAAATTTACATGTGTATTGATTTTTTTTCGAAATTTAGTTTTGTTCTTCAATGTTAAGTATTTCAACCCTCTGTGTATTGTTTAGTTGCAAGGATTTTATCTTCAATTTCTTGATCACTATGATTGATATAGCAGGAAACAAAAATCCAACCAGATATGGGCCCAAACCAGTATGTATCTTTTATCATTATGTTACCCGCTGATCCCACTGCTTCATTTTCCAGTCTGAAGTTGAGTGGTAATTACGTGCACAGCAGCATATTTTCAAACAAACTGTTATTGCCACTATACTAATCATGTTCGCAAAACATGGGTGAGAAAAAAATAAGTCTCAGAAAAGATTAATGTACTCATAGATGAAAAAGGCATGAGGGTCTGGATTGGGTTGACATAATAGACAGTTATGTGCAGAAAGTGATGACGTAAAGCCGAAAATAAAAGCTATAGTAGAAAGAATAAAAAAAAAAAAGATTTTTGAAATATAGAGAACAGAAAAAACTTGCTGCAAAAAACAATGTAGAGATTAAATTTGGTGCTGAAATATAAAGAATAGAGAATAATTGGCAAACTAAAAAAAAAACAACGAATAGAGAAAAATTGTCATTTATAAAAACAGGAATAAAGGACTCCATCCAGACTCTTAAGCATAGGTTGTACAGAAACTGATATGAATGAAAATATCATCGAAAGAAAAACAGAGGAACACAAAAACGAACTCACGAAACAAGGTAAATGAGAATAAGTTAAGTGGGAGTCAATAACATAAACAGAACCCATTTTTCTGCAACAGATGTGAATTTCGATAAATCAATGTCTCCTCAGTTATGCTCGATGCAAAAATAATTGAAAATCTAAGCTTATTTAAAGTATGAAGTATTAACCAAAAAGGACAAAAAAGTAAAGCCAAGACCGGGTAAGGAATCAGAGCTTTGCATGAGGTAAATATGTTCGTCCAGGACAAAAACAAATATAAAATGGAATCTGACAGTTATTTGATCAAATTAATCTGCACTTATAATTAACGCATAATCATATGAATTATGTTGAGGAAAAATGAACGGTGATTTCATCATTTTATTATTTATCGATAGAAGTGCATCCGTAACATTACCAACCAACATATCATGACATTAGTTTATCCTAAATGGGGTCTTTTATTGAAAGATAATAACATCGCTCGGCATCCTTTTCAAATTTACAAATGATCTAATCATCTTTTTCTTTAATTCAGTCTGGCAATTCGTACCAAAATGAGAGTTAAAACGAAATTCCAAACTGAATTTGGATTCATTTATTCTCATCGGTCTCACTTTTTGTTGAATGAGGAAAACTTTCGTGGATATTTGCTTTTGTAGTTTTGACAAACTGCAAACTTGACAATACAAAATATTTAAACATTTAATTTCGGAGTTTGCATTTGAATTCGGAGTTCGCTTGATCAATGAAACCAATTGAAACTGGTATCCAACGAGTATTCTAATGCAACATCGTTTTAACGTTCATTTTGTTTGGATAACGTCACTAATTTTCATGGAATCAATTCATGATGCCATGAAAACGTACGTGCAAGTGCAGACGACGTATGACAGATGATTGATATGTGAAAATAAACAACATATATAATTGGAAAGAACTGAATTATAAAAAAATATTTTTTTTTACTTCTAATAATAAATAAACTCGTCATAGATACCAGGACTAAATTCTGTATTTACGCCAGACGCGTGTTTCGTCTACAAAAGACTCATTAGTGACGCTCGATTCCAAAAAAGTTAAAAATGCCAAACAAAGTACGAAGTTGAAGAGCTGAAGACCAAAATTCCTTAAAGTTTTGCCAAATACAGCTAAGGTAATCGATTTCTGAGGATGAAAAGCCTTAGTATTTCAAAAATTCAAAAGTTTTGTAAACAGTTAATTTATAAATATGACCATGTCAATGATGAGTATTTTATTACCTAAACTGGCTGCCCTCTTTTCTGTGATTGGCTAGTTAAACTTCATCTATAGTAAGGAATTAAGTGTATTTTGCAATATTGTTATAGATGTTTTGATTTTCATATGACATGGCAAAATTTAGTATAATTACGCTGTCAAGTTTTGATATTGCCATTATAATGAGGAAAAGTTGCTATTCATACTTACTCAACTTATTTCAAACGGGATAGCACATCCTCATTTTTACGGAAATGTTGTTAACCGTGCCCGGAAATCTAGAAATTATCCTTGTAAACTTATCGCTCCTTTAAATAAACTTATTCTAAAAGGTTACCAATTCAACACTGTAATAAAATCATTGTTTTTATTGGTATAAATATTGATTTTGTTATCAGTAAATTAAAAGCAAACTAAATATTACTAGTATGTTATATAAAAATAAACATTCATGGATCTACAATCTGTCGATACCTGTATCTTGGCATTGCACAAGGTCATGTTTTTCTCTGACTGTTTATGACGTCTCTACACTAAATCCATTGGATGTTGGATGTGTACGGATTGATAATTTAGTCTTAGATGCATGATTTTTTTATTAGTTGTTAGATGCTTTGAACTAGCTGTCAGTTAACTGCGAGTACTCTCAGATCTGTTCCTAGTGTCTTTTTGTTGTTGGAATGTACAAGTACCCGGCCACGTCCACTTGTATTTTTGTCCATCTGATGAGTTAAGCCTTTTTCAGCTGATTTTAATAGTTCATTCTTATGTTGTACTGTTATACCACTGTCCCAGGTTAGGGGGAGGGTTGGGATCCCGCTAACATGTTTAACCCCGCCACATTATGTATGTATGTGCCTGTCCCAAGTCAGGAGCCTGTAATTCAGTGGTTGTCGTTTGTTTATGTGTTACATATTTGTTTTTCGTTCAATTTAAAAAAAAAATAAGACCGATAGTTTTCTCGTTTCAATTGTTTTACATTGTCATTTCGGGGCCTTTTATAGCTGACTATGCGGTATGGGCTTTGCTCATTGTTGAAGGCCGTACGGTGACCTATAATTGTTAATTTCTGTGTCATTTTGGTCTCTTGTGGAGAGTTGTCTCATTGGCAATCAAACCACATCTTTTTTTTTATAGTATAGGTGTCAGACGTCTTCAGATCCGAACTTATTAATAGCATAGGTTCAGATTATCTTATGTTATACGTCATCTAATGAGATGCAGATGTTGATAGCTATTCTTATCTCTGATTACCCGGATGTTGCGGACAAACATCTACAGCATTACTGTTTACAATGGCTAGCAATAATGCATATCAATATGTTACACTTAAAGAAAAAGATGTACCTGGAGCTCAATTAATTTATCCAGAAGTAGAAAACCATTCCAATGTGCAATTAAAAAGATGGCTATTATGTAGAGGT